TTATTTATTTATTTATTTATTTATTTTCCTCATTCCCAGCAGTGCTCAGGGGTTACTCCTCTCTCTGCAGTCAGGAATCACTCCTAGCGGTACATGGAGGACCATATGGGATACCAGGATCGAAGCCAGGTTGGCCACATGCAAAGCAAGTGCCTTAACTGCTGTACTATCGCTCTGTTCCTTGCCACCGCCATATATATATATAAATTTTTATTAGTGAAACACCATGAGGTACAGTTGTAGACTTACAAATTTTGGTGCTTGGGTTTCAGTTATACAATGATTGAATACCCATCCCTCCACCAGTGCCCATTCTCCACCAGCACTAATCCCAGTATCCCTCCCACCACCAGTCCCCCCCATCCCACCCTACCTCTGTGGCAGGGCATTCCCTTTTGTTCTCTCTCTCCTTTTGGGTGCTGTGGTTTGCAAAAGAGGCATTGAGTGGCAATCATGTTCGTTCTATAGTCTACTTTCAGCATGCATCTCCCATCCTGGGAGGATCCTCCCAACACCCTTTATTTGGTGCTCCCTTCTCTATCTGAGCTTCCTTTTCCCCTAGCGTTTGTGGCTGGCCTCCAAGATGCCCCCTATATTTTTTAATGCTTTGACTACTTGCACCTGCAGGACAGTCTTTCCCCCAATGTGCCCCTGGTCTGCTCTCTGCCCAGCCCCTAAGTAGGCAGGGATCACCAAACTGGGTTCGCTTCCTGGAACCGTTCAGTCCCCTGTTCAACACCAAGAGCTGTCCCGGAGGCCCCCAGCACCCTGGAGTGGCCGAGGTGTCCCGGCAGCACCACATCCTCTAGTCCTTGTGTTGAACTGATAACCAGGTTGGTGGGGAATTGATGCTGAGGCCTGGAGTCTCCTGAGACTTGGGCGGCTCTTCCCCAGCCCTGCAGCCCCAACCAAAGGCCAACTCTAAAGCCGAGCCTCTCAGCCTCTGTACCTCTGAGAACTAAGTGACTACAGAATTAGGAGAGAGAAGGCAAACGGTTGCTCTTTCACTTCTTAGGATTTGGCTACTGGAGCTGGAGAGATAGAGCATTTGCCATGTACGCGGCCAACCCAGGGTTGATCCCTGGCATCCCATAACTGCCAGGAGCGCTATCTGAGTGCAGAGCCAGGTGTAAACCCTGAATACTGCAGGGTGTGGCCCCCAAATCCTAAATAAAGTTCAAAAATTAAAAAGCACTGTAGCACTGTCCTCCTGTTGTTCATCGATTTGCTCGAGTGAGCACCAGTAACATCTCACAACAAATTGTGAGACTTGTTGCTACTGTGTTTGGCATATCGAATACGTCAATAGGCTTTGCCGTGTGGGCGAGATACTCTCAGTAGCTTGCCTGACTCTCTGAGAGGGGTGGAGGAATTGAATCCGGGTCAGCCATGTCAGGCGCGTGCAAGGCAAACGCCTTACCCGCTGTGCTATCGCTCCAGCCCCCAAAATTTTAAAAATAAATAAATACTTGGAAACTGTGTCTTTTTTTTGTGGGGGGGGGGTGGGGAATGGGAGGTTCCCAAGTGATGCTCAGGGGGCCTGAGGGCCACTCCCAGCCATATTCAGTTGGCCAGGCGTGGTTCAGAGTTAGGGTCTGAGGGTGCAAAGCAAACCAAGTGTGAGATGTTATTGGGCCGACCTGCAGGGCCCAAGGCTGCTGTTCCTGGCAGACAGCTGTCAGGGGCCTGGGCCTTTCGAGGCAGTGGGACCTCGGAGTGAGGCAAGCCGAGCTCCTTCCAGGAATTCGGAAACACCTGCGCAGTTACCACCGGGTCCTAGCAACTTGGAGCAGCAAGCACGCGGGAACTGGGACACAGCACGAGCTTCTGCTTCAGAGATGACCCATCACCGTGTCTTGGCCAAAGGCTGGGTCTGCTCTGACTGTGGGTTAGCACCTGACCCCCTCACCCTCTGGGGTCTGTGCTGCCCGCTCAGAGCTGGGACTTTTCCCAGGTTGTCTCTGAAGGCCTGTGTTCCCACGCCCGCAGATCAGAGTCCAGTCCACTTGAGGAACACAGGTCTGTCTGTGCTGTCTCTTGCCCCTGTCCACCACGGTCTGCACTCTGGGACTCAGGCGCCTTTCCTCCTCACATCCTCTAAAAGCTTAGCCTCTGAGGTGACCAGCTTTTTAACGGGTGCCACAGGCCCTCTCCTCAGTTTTATTTATTTATTTATTGCGTTTTGGGTCACACCCAGTGATGCTCAGGGGTCACTCCTGGCTCTGTACATTCAGGAATTACTCCTGGCGGTGCTTGGGGGATCATATGGGATGCTAGGGATTGAACCTGGGTCAGCTGCATGCAAGGCAAATGCCCTACCTGCTGTGCTATCGCTCCAGCCCCCAACTCTCCTCAGTTTTTTTTTTCTAAATTAATTTATTTATTGAATCACCGTGAGAAAAGTTACAAAGCTATCAGGTTTATGTCTTGGTCATACAATGATCAAACACCCATCCCTTCACCAGTGCATATTTTCCACCGCCAAGAACCCCAATATACCCCCCATTCCACCTCTTCCGATGCCTGTGAGGCAGATGATTTCCATTTAACTCTCTCTCTACTTTGATTACATTCATTATTTCGACAAAAGGTACACCATTATTATTTGGAATTTTCCCACAACAATCAGACCTGATGAAAAGGCATTGTGAAATAATTTGTGTTCTATTGCTGGTTGTGAAGATCATATGATGTCATGAGGCTGTAATAGTGGCTGCACGATTTTGGATTTCTGATATTTTACTAATTATGTCTGGAGGGATTTCTGCCAAAAGCCACATAGTTACAAGTTTGGTTTGTGTACTTCTGGGGTCATAGCCGTGCCAGAGAGTGACTCGTGGGGGGCAACTCTAGGCCTCAACGGGGTGGGAAGGACGTGCCGGTTCTGCCCCCCATCCCATGACTTTCCTCAGTTTTAATAGTCATGGAATAAACATTGGTAAGAGACCCCAGTTTACCTCTAGGACTGAGTATGCTAATCATAGGTGGGACTGGGAAGGGACCTAGGGACAGGGGAGAAGGAACAGGGGGTACTCTGTGGAGGATGTGGTGTAGCAACACTGTATTCCCAAAACATTAACATTCTTGTCAATCAAGGAGCCTAAAAGAATATTAATGGGTGGGACCGGCCGCATCTGAGGGTGCTCAGAGCTTACTCCTGGCTCTGTGCTCAGGGATCGCAGCTTGAGTCCGGGTCTATGATGTGCCAGACAAGTGCCTGAGCTGCTGTTCTGTCTCTCCCGCCCGAGCTGTCTGTGTCGTATGTGGTTTCCTCACCTCAGATACAGCGACACTATCCCACATGAGGAATAGTTCTGTCTCAGCAGACACCAATGCTTTCCCCACACTAGAGAGATAACGTTTCTAAATTTAAAAAGTGGGGCACCCTATGTAAATGAACTATTTAAAATTGGTCTGTGCAAAGGCTTGGAGCCCAAGGTTGTTCGACTTGATATTTCTATTTCTTAAGGAAGTAGTGGGGACTGAGAACTGAAAAGTCAGGGACAGGGGTTGGAGTGACCACACAGTGGGCAGGATGCTTGCCTTGCGTGGGACAGACCCAGGTTTGATGCCCGGCATCCCTTATGGTCCCCGAGCACCACCGGGAGTAATTCCTAATTCCTGACCTGAGTGCAGAGGCAAGAGTAACCCTGAGTGCAGTAACCCTGAGAGCCAGGAGTAACCCCTGAGCACTGCCAGGTATGGTCCAGAAAGCAACAAAAAAAAAAAAAAAAAAAAAAAAAAGGAAAGAAAGAAAGAAAAAGAAAGCAAAACCAGGGACCACTCACTCATTTCCCTGGGGTCTCTTCCATGCATGATAGAGGAAGTGTGGGCAAGCGGAAGGCCCTGCACCCGTCCCACCCCCTCTGTCCCGATGGCTGAGGACAGAGCCCCAGGGGCCCGATCTCTCAGGATGCTGCCTAGAAGGAATAAGCGCCAAGAAGGCAGAGACCATTATGCAAAGAGTGGGTGACCCCATCAGGACTCTTGGCAGGAGTCCTAGACACCGACAAGGGGGATGTGCAAGGAAGAGCTTTGGGAAGGGCCTGGGGCCATTGCCAGCCTCAGGAACTGGGCAGCACAGGAAGGCCCTGGGGTTAGAAGTCAGATCCATGGCAAACTCAAGACAGTGACCACTGACACTGATTCCAGAGCAACACAACCCTGTCACTGCCAAGGCCCAGAAGCCCACAGAGTACAGCCAAGGTGATGTGCCAAGGGCTCTGGCATTGGGGGCAACTGCTGCCAATGGGCTGCTTGGGCATCACTGGCCCGTGTCTTATTTGTAAGGTTGCTGAGAAAGCAAGTCTCAGCATCTGTCCCGGGCCAGGAGCACCACCTCCCACCTGGAGGGCAAGAAGATGGACCTCATGCCCCAAGCCCACAAGCCCCACAAGCCCAGCACGTAAGAAAACCGGGGGCCCAGGGTCAAAGAGATGCTCAGCGGGCAGGAGCCCCTGCTTCAATGACCGGCACTGCGTGGTTCCCCAGACCCTGGTGGGAGCAACCCCAAGCACTGGGCAGGGAGAAGACCCCAAGCACTGCCACGTGTGCCCTCCCCACCAAACCAAAAGAGAACTGAGGGGCTAAGATCATTTTTGTAATTGTGTGATTTGAAGAGAAACCGAGCGACAGTCCAGCGGGGAGGGCATTTGCCTTGCAACACAGTTCACCCAGGTTCGATCCCCGGCATCCCATATGGTCCCCTGAAGGCTGCCAGGAGCGATTCCTGAATGCAGAGCCAGGAGTAAAGAGCTTGACAGGGAAGGGAAAGAAAGTAGCAAACCAAGGCAACAGCAAAACCCAAGGACCTTTTCTTCTGGCACCTGAGCAGTTTCAGGAGGAGGAAGGAAACCTCCTGACAAGACAGAGCAGCCGGCACAGCACCGGCCTGGGCTGTGGCCTGCCACGTCTGTCCCACCATGTGGTCTGAAGTTGTCTTTAGAGCATCTCCGACAGCAGGACGCAGCCTTCTGAACTAAAGGGACCAGGACGCGCTCGGAGCTATGGTGTCTTCAGGTTTTTAATTAACATCTAAGTAGACAGATAACATACTCTTCTATAATTATTATATGGAAATGTCTTTGAATAAAATAGATTTTAAAAAAATCTTTTGGCAAATTCCTAGGCAGGAACTGTCCGTCAAGTTCATCCAAGGTCTAAAGCAGCAATATCCGGGCAGCCGGACCGTGGTCAGTGCTTGGGGACGGAGGTGAAGATCCGAAGCCCGTGCATCCCCTTGATTTCTTCTTTGAGGGCCTGCAAAAGTGACCAAGCATTGCTGAGTTGTCATTTAATGTCAACCATGCTAAGTTTAATGAGAAGCATTTTAGGTGTGAGTTTTTATATCCGCAGAAGATTTTCGATGCACTGAGCAGTTTTCCCCTTTTACTGGAAAACAATGTTTTAAAGCTTTTTTTTTTTCCCCTTTTGGTGCCAGGAATCAAACCAAGGACTTCACACATGCAAAGCAAGTGCTCTACTCACGGAGCCACATGTATGGATCTGAAGACAATGCTTTGTTTTACTCTGTTTTGGACCTGGGGACACATCTGGTGGTGCTCAGGGCTTACTCCTATTCTTGGCGGCGCTTGGGGGACCATATGAGATGTTGGGGATTGAACCCTGGTTGGCTGTGTGCAAGGCAAATTGCCCTACCCGCTGTACCATCTCTCCAGCCCCACAAAACCCTTTCACACCAGTCTGAAAGCAGGTCCCATGGCGTAGTGCAGTCACAGTGCTTCCTTAAGTCCCCTGCATGTGGTGGGGGGCACAGCCAGCCTCTCCTTAGCAGCCCTGTGGGTGGTAGGCCCTGTCACCCCATCTCCCTGCCCTGCCAGGCCAAGAGGCCCTCTGGACCTTGTGCCCCCATGTTCGATGAACTGACTTCACAGTGTCCCCTCTTGCCCTCTCTCTGTCTACACTCTTCCCACCGGGCCTCCCCCAGTTTCTCAGAGGGCCTGAGAGATCACCTGGGGTGCATCCAGCTGAGAAAACTCAGGCCTTGAGCGAGAAAGGATGGGTCTAGAATGCCATGGGGGCAGACACTGCTCAGGACCGGCTGGTCCCTCAGCATCAGCCCGAGCAGGGGCACAGGAGAAAGGTCCTGAGAAAGGATTTTAAAAAAGCAAAGGGAAAAGGACACAAGCCCCGGGATTGGACAGCATCAGGTGCTGCAGCCCCAGCCAAGTCCTCATACCCCAACCCTGCCACTCTCCAGGGAGGTCGCCCAGGAGTGGGAAACCGGAGGCAGAATGAGCAGAGAACGGCAGGGCACTGGACCCAGAGAACAAGTTGGCGAAAGACCCGGCCACGACTCACTGGGAAAAGGCCTGGCGTGCTAGGGAGACTGAGGCAGATCATGCAGCCAGAGTGTTATTTAGAGGGGTTAAGGCGCTTCCTTGCATGCGGCCAACCAGGTTCGATCTCTGGTGGCTCATATGGTGCCTCAAGCCCCACTGGCAGTGACCACTGAATGTAGAGATAGAAGGACCTGAGCACAGTCAGGTGTGACCCCAAAAGCAAAAAATGAAAGGAAGGAAGGAGGGAGAGAGGGACAGAAGTGGGAGAGAGGAAGAGAGGGAGGAAGGGAGGAAGGCAGGAAGGAAGGAGGGAGGGAGGAAGACAGGAAAGAAGGAGGGAGGGAGGAAGGCAGGAGGAAGGGAGGGAGGGAAGAAGGAAGGAAGGAAGGAAGGAAGGAAGGAAGGAAGGAAGGAAGGAAGGAAGGAAGGGAGGGAGCTGGAGCCATAGTCCAGCAGGTAGGGTATTTGCCTTGCATGGTACCAACCTGTATTCTATCCCCAGCATCCCATATGGTCTCCCGAGCACCACCAGGAATAATTCCTGAGTGCGTGCAGAACCAGGAGTAACCCCTGGGCATCACTGGGTGTAACCCAAAAAGACAGAAAAAAAAAGAAAGAAAAATAGAAAGGAGCGAAAGAGGGAGGGAGGGATGGGAGGGAAAACATCCTGGCCAGGACACAGGATTCTGGATTCTGCAGGTAACTGTGGTGTCCAGTGACAGACTGGACAGTAGCAGAGATGAGGCACTGAGCGAGGGGGAGAGGTCGTGGAAAGCAGCAGCCAGAGAAGGGCAGTGGGCAACTGTTAGGCAACTGCCTCTTCCGTGTCGGCACAAGGCTGGGCACGGGGTCAGTGCCTTGGTCAGCCTCGGCTGATGGGAAGCTACGGCTCAGAATCCACAGAGTCCCAGCTCCACCCAACACGGGAGGGAACGGGGTGCAATATCCACCATACCATGCGCACAGTAAATGTCAGCACAGCGAGACAAGGAAACACAAAACAGCTTTTCGAAGTGGGGCTGGCAGAAAGGACGGTTTGAGGGAAACATGAGCAGAGACCCTGATTTCAACCCTGAATAAATTTCCCACTGGGCCACAGTCTCATTCCAGATGTTTCCCTCCGGGCCTGGATTCCAGGGCCGGACCTTCGGTGTGGCAACACTCCTTCCTGGCGTGTGGCAACACGCCATCCCCAGCAGCCTCCCCACTCGCTGGCGTCCCAAGGGCCCAGGAACCCGAGTGCCTCCACTGACCTGATTCACCATCTGGTGCTGCTGGACGATTTTCTTTGCCTTAAAGTCTTCCGACTCGATTTGGATTTCATACATGGCTCCGCAGCCTCCTAAAGTCAACACGAGTTGAAAGTGTTTGATTTATACATTCCGCGAGAGCGGCTGCAGACCCAGCCAGGCCTGAGCACTGCATGATCCAAGAAGGTCTGAACGTTTACTATGTGTCGGAAAGTTGCAGAGTTTGGGAGAGAACGATCCTGGCAGCCCAAGGCGACCAGGCCCGCTGGCTGCCGCAAACCCAGGATGGGACCTTCTTTTGCAAGGCCCTTCTCTGCGCTGCCCAGAATCCTGCCTCGTGGGTGGGAAACAAAAGGCACGGCACCTGGAAACCTCTGGGAACTGTCTGGGGTCCCCGCTATTTCCTGTTACGGGGCCAACAGAAAGCCAGAGACAGGGGTGGCAGGGATGGACTTAGTGTTCCAGCTTCCAAAGGACCAGCAGCTGGGGCTGGAGAATAGGACAGTGGGGAGGGTGACTGCCTGGCACGTGGCCAACCCAGGTTTGATCCCTGGCATCCCACATTGTTCCCCTGAGCCCTGCCTGCCAGGACTGATTCCTGAGCACACAGCCAGGAGTAAGTAAGTCCTGAGTACCTGGGTGTGGCCCCAAAACTAAACACGGGATAGGGTATGGAATAATACAATGGCCGGGGCACATGCTTTGCCTGCAGGGGGACCACATGGTCTCCTAAGCACCTTGAGGTGTGACCTACCAAGCAGCGCGGTGGGACTAGCCTGCGTACTGTCATGTATTAGAAGAGAAAGGGGCTGGAGGATAGTACAGTGGGTAGGGTGTTGGCCTTGCACGCGGCCCATCCGGGTTTGATCCCGGCATCCCGTATAGGCCCCTGAGCACCACCAGGAGTGATTCCCGAGTAAGTCAGGAGAGGGAGTGGGGAAGAGAGAGAGAGAGAGAGAGAGAGAGAGAGAGAGAGAGAGAGAGAGAGAGAGAGAGAGAGAACCTAAAATAATTTGAGTTGAAATGACAAGTAATTGTACCTGAAAGGAAAGAAGGGAACAAGAAAGCCTGAGGGATAGAGCCAGCGCAATGACCCGCAAACCTCCAAGATGCCCACCACAGTGTCTCCTTCCTGGAGAGCCTTCTCAGGCAACGGGGAGGGAACCGCTCTCAGTGCAGCTCTCAGGGCCGCCCCCCGCCCGTGGTGCTCTCTGGACATCTAGCTGGAGCATTGGTGCAATGGCTGGGGAGTATATGAAGCAACAGGGGAGACAGAAAGGGCACCCATGTGCGGTTAACTGCAGGCTAGCGTAACCATCAGAGCACCATAACGTGGAGAGAGAGAGAGAGAGAGAGAGAGAGAGAGAGAGAGAGAGAGAGGTGTGATGTAGTGCTCAGGCTCTCAGAGATCTGGGGTCACCCAAGGCCTCTGGCTGTGCTCTCTTTCTGGCCCCATTGGCCCCAGCTTTCACTTTTAAGTTTTGTTTTTTTGGGGTCCTACCTGGCAGTGCTCAGGGGTTACTCCTGGCTCTGCACTCAGAAATTACTCCTGGCGGCACTCTGGGGACCATATGTGATGCCGGAGATCCAACCTGGGTCAGCTGTGTGCAAGGCAAACACCCTCCCCGCTGGACTATGGCTCCGGCCCCCATCCGGTCCCATTTGCCGTGTGCAATTCCAGCCCTCCCTCCCTGGGCCTGCAACAGGTCCTGGACAGAGACACCAAGGCCTCCCGGAGCCTCCTGACAGTCTCAGTGGGTCTTAGCGCAACTTCCTACAGTGGCCACGACACAGGCCACTTTCTCGACTTTCTTGTGGGTGGGTGTGCCTATCACTCCTGACCTGCTCCAAGTGCGAGCCTGGATAAAGGCCCTATCTCCCCTGCTGGGGCCCACTGGGGCTGATCTCAGGCTGCTCCGAGCACACAGATAGCCACGACTGTGCGCTCCCTCTCCTGACTCACTCAGGGTCCCCTGAGATAGGCTGGGCCTGAAAATTGGACTCGGTACCATGTGTGCTGGGTCCTGGCTCTGGCCCTGCTGCCCGCCTCCCAGACGCAGGGCAGACCACTTCTCTGCCTCCTCTGGACTAGTCTCCTCATGGGAAAGTGAGGCAGTTACTTTTTTTTTTTTTAAGGACAAAATGGGACTGGAGAGATAGCACAGTGGGTAGGGTGCTTGCCTTGTATGCAGCCAGCCTGGGTTTGCTCCCTAGCATCCCATATGGTCCCCTGAGCACTGCCAGGAGTTAATTCCTGAGTGCAGAGCCTGAAAGTAACCTCTGAGCACCGCTTGGGTATGACCCAAAAACACAAACAAAAAAAAAAAAAAAAGGAAAAAAGGACATAAATTGAGGACTGGGGAGATAGTTCAAAGGCCTCCTGCTCTGCCTATGGAGGCCCCCAGTCCCATTCTCAGCACCACAAGCTCCTCCAAGCACCACCCAGGCACAACCCTGGTGGCCCCTGGCCTCAGGCCCAAATACCACGACTTCACAGGCCTGGGCACTGACCCTTCAGGCCTGGGCAGCTGGGAGTGAGTCCCCAAGGTCTCTGACACCCCTTGCAAGCCCCCCCCCCCCCCACCAAAAGACAAGGGGGAAGAAAAGGACAAAATTTCCCGGGGTCCTCTCCTTGCCTGACATTCTAGAGTGTCAGACTGTGTGTGTGTGCGTGTGCATGTGTGCGCGTGTGTGTGTTAGTGTATGTGTGTGTGTGTGTGTGTGTGTGTGTGTGTGTGTGTGTGTGTGTGTTGGTGGGGGTCGGGGAGGAGGCTAGAGAGATAGTACAGAGGTTAACATGCTTGTCAACCCAGGTTCGACCCCCAGTACTCCATCAAGTCCCCTGAGCACCACCTGATGTAGTACAAAAACAAAAAAATAAGAGAAGGAAGGAGAAAAAGGATGAAAGAGGGGGAGGGGAAGGAGCAGATGGAGGAATGGGAGTAACAGGGGGCCAGAGAGAGACAGCACGGCAGATGGGGCATCTGCCTTGCACGCGGCCAATCTGGGCTCAATCCCCAGCACCCCACAGAATTCCCGAGTCCCCCAGGAGTGATTCTGAGTACAGAGCCAGGGGTAACCCCAGAACCCTGCCAGGTATGGAACTAAAACACCCCTGTGCCCAAAATAATAGTAATAGTAGTAGTAGTAGTAGTAGCGGTAGTGGTAGTAGTGGGCAGGCTGGGGGCAGGAGCTGGCCTTGGTCACCATGCAGCTTCTTTCCGGTATGTCTGCACCCTCACCTGACCCCACCAGGTGGGAGAGGCCGAGTCTTGCGTGTCCGAAAGCCACATTTAGGGGGCACCCAGGGACAGCACATTCCCTCCACCTCGTCCTCAGCCCTCTCACTCCCCCTAGGGCAAAATCCACCGCGACCCTCTGGGCAAGAAATGAAGGAACCTCACCTGAAATGTCTGTGACTTTGATAGCGGTGGCCCGGGGAAACTTCTCTTTGAGAACCTGTGTCACCTTGAGCTCGCCCTCGGTCTGGGAGGCAAAGAGCCGCTGGGCACAGTGGAGAAGCGGAAGCTGCCAGGAAGGGAGAGAGTCAGGCAGAGGTCCCAGACCTGCCCCCAAGGCCAGCCCGGCCCTTCTCCTTGGAGGCGCAACCCCAGGCCTGGCCACAGAAGCTGAGCCAAAGGGGCAGGCCTTCCTCCCGATGGAGAATAAACTTTGTGATTGTTGGCTTTACCCAGAGATGCTCAGGGCTTACTCCTGGCTTACTCCTTACTCTTGGGGAATTAGAGGGGATGCCAGGAATCAAAACTGGGTGAGACGCTGTGCATGGCAAACACCGTACCTGCTGTATTGTCACTCTGGCCCCAGAGAATAAACCTCTGGGGGTACCAGAGGTGGTTGTAAATAATCAAGCTGGACCCTAGAGGAAAGGCCCAAACTTAGCTCAATAGGTGCTTGCCCTGCACACTGACTGCTACACGGAACACGATCAGGCAGTTTCGCATGCGAGGGAACAAAGACTAGGCACCGAGTCATGCCTCTAGTCTGGACCTGTGGGTAAGATCTTGGCAGAGCCAAAGGGCCAGGCAGGCTGCCTCAGACTGCCCTGTGCAGTCTGAAGGGGCCGGAGCCCCCCGCCCCACCGGCGGCCACCCACACTTTATGCATGATTGACAATCTCCGTCCTCCCCCATCGGGTATGACCCATCCCCTAATGCAGCTGAAAAGGCAGACAGACGGAAAGTGCAGGAGGGCAGCCCTTGAAGACCACGCTGAAGGGTTTGGGCTGTGGGGCTGGAGCAATAGCACGTGGGCCGACCTGGGCTCAGTCCTGGGCATCGCATATGGTTCCCTGAGCCTCACCAAGGCGTGATTCCTGAGCAGAGGCAGGAATAAGCCCTGAGCACTGAGGGTGTGATCCCTACCCACACCAAAATAAATAAATAAAAAAATAAATAATAATAATAATTGAGCTGTTAGCTAGGTTTCTTGGTGCCAAAGCAAGGGGTATGAGACAGGAAGAAACCTGGAAGAGAAGTGCTACAAAGGAAGCAGCACCAGGAATGGGGTGCCTTCCCGGAGATCATGCAGCGCTGGTGGGTGTCCTGCCCACCAGCCCACCAGCCCTTTCCTGACGGCCTAGAGTAGGCCTCCAGGACCAAAGCAAACCATGACCTGCTCACTAGCTCTTTCACTAAGCAGTTTCTCAAAGTTAGGTTTGGGCCTTTTCTCTAGGGTCCAGCTTGATGATTTACAGTGACTCATCCTCACACGCCCCCCTCCCCCATTACTCCAAGAAGTTTATACTCCAGGGCTGGAGTGACAATACAAGCAGGTCTATGGCTTTTGCCTTGCACCTGGCTGACCTGGGTCCGACTCCTGGCATCCTCTACGATCCCTCCCCACCCAAGCCTCACCAGGATTAATTCCTGAGCACAGACCCCTTTTCTGTCCTGCTGCTGCAGCCTTCCAGGGCTAAGCCTGGGGCTTGGGTGACACGGGTGAGGAAATGTCAAGGGAAAAAAAGCATGACCCTTGAGAAACGGGCGTAGGCAAAGCAGTTCTTCCCACCACCCCCCTCCCCCATTCCCCCCATTCTGACAGGCAACTGAAGTGCAGTGAAGAGGAACAAGAGATGGGGGCAGTGTGGGCCTGGGTAAGGTGGTCGGGGCAGTGAGCACAGGAAGAGGGGAGCAGGTGGAGGGCCCAAGTGGTGGGCGCTAAGGGATGCACCGCGGGTTCCTTGAGAGACTCCCCTTCTCTCTGCACCTCTGCGGGGCAGAACCCCCTTCGCAGGAGTGATGGGCTGTCAACGCAGAAAGACAAGGGCCGGGTGCGGCTGCGGAGAAGGAAAAGTGTGAGAACCAGGGTGGAGAGCGGAGGGATGGAGGGCGTCCCGGGATGGAAAATTAAAAAAAAGAAAAAAAGAAAAAACAAAATCAGCAAGTGCCGGAGGAGTGCCCTCTGCTGGCCTTCACTCCGGGCAAAGCCAAGGTCACGGAGGCCGGGGAGGAGGGGGACCCGGGCCCGGCCCTCTCGGCAGTGCCCGGCCGGCCGCGCAGCCCCGACCCGACCCGGTCCGCAATCAGCCGCGCCCCCCGGGCCGGACCAGACCGGACCAGACCGGAACCGGGACGGTTGGTGCCACCCGCGGGCCCGCCGGCCCCGGCTGGGAAACGCGCTGACAGCTGCGGGCGCCGGCGGGCGGGCGGCGTCGCGGCCCCGGGAATGAATGAGGAGCGCGCAGGGGGCGGCGGGGGCGGCGGGGGTCCGAGCCGGGGAAGGCGCCGCGGGCCCGCGCCGCGCCCGCCCGGGTCTCCCCCGGGGCCGCCCCCGCCCGGCCCCGCTCCCGCGCTCACCCCGCGCATCCCGCAGAGCAGCGGCGCTGCCCTGGCCGGGCTCCACGCCGCCATGCCCGGCCGCTGCGGCTCGCCGCCCGAGGTCGCTGCTGTGCCCTCCCTCCCCCCACCCCCGGCGGACACCGAGCCCCGGGCGCGAGAGCCGCCGGCTCCTCGGGCGCGGTTGTCCCCTGCCGGCCGGAGGCCGCGCCACACCGCGCCGCGCCGCGGGGAATGTCCGGGAACCTGCGCATTGCAGACTTCGGTGGGCGGGGGTGGGGTCGGGAGGGCAATCTAGGGCCAGATCCCAATTTCTCTGGGCATGAACGTATTTTTCCCGGGGATTCGGAGGGTTTCCCTCCACACACACACACACACACACACACACACACACACACACACACACACACACACACACACCAAAATAATAATAAGAAGAAAGCCGTGAGGCCCTGAGCTATGACAATACAGCCGGTGTCTTGTCTTGCACGTGGTTGACCGGGTTCCATCCCATCAAGTGATCAACTCTCTGAGCACTTCCAAGTGTGCTGAAAGTGCTCAGGATTTACTCCCTGAGCAAGAGTCAGGAGTGAACTCCCCACCCCACACACACCCAAAGCAAAAATAAATGCACGAATAAATAAATAAATAAATAAATAAAGCAACTCTGGCCTGCAGCTAGGGTTCATGAGGCTTCAGAAGTGAAGGCTGGAGCAACCCAAACTTTATTTGTGGTCTACTTGTGGTCTGTGGTCTGGTATATTCTGCTGGTACTTGTGTGCTTGGTGATACATTCACATTAGACTGCTTTCTGGTTTTGTTCTGGGGGCTACACGCGGCAGTGCTGAGGGTTTGCCCTTAGCTCTGCGCTTCCGGGATCACCCCGGAGGGCTCTGGAGACCGTATGGGGTGCCAAGGATGGAACCCAGATTGGCCTCGTTCAAGGTAAATGCTCTACCCGCTGTGCTTTTGCTCCAGCCCCTATTTTATTTGGCTTCGCATTTTATGCTTGACTGCTACAAAATGAGGGGTGGTGGTTTTAGGAAAAAATTTTTGACTTCCCAGTTTTTCTTCTTTAATGTCAACGATGTAGAAAAAAACTGCCAAAGATATTTTCTCCAGTCGTGTAGTTACTAAGACAGGATCCCCGCCCACGGACAGTTTTAGGATTTGAAACAACACCCAGGTCTGGTTTGAAGTTGGTTACCTGACCTGAACCAGCTCATGGAAAGTTGGTCTGCGACTTTTCTGGAAAAGAAACGATCCTTTCTAACTGGACCTCTAACTTGGTAGGAAGCTTGGAGAGGCTGGCACTTAACTCAGTCACTGTGTGGGAAGCACTTTGGAAATGAAGCACATGCAACTGCAAACCAGATGAGCCCAAAATGAACACTAGTCATTTTAGACAGTTTGTCACACAATTGAGAGACCCATTTAAAGTCATGGATTGTGTTTGGAGAATTCCTCCTTTTCATCATGAAAAATCACTACTTTTGCTCACGTCCAACATCCCTCATCCCCATAATTTAATAGTTGCACACATTATTTTAAGTTATTGTCACTCTGCCCTGTATCTTCCCCATAACCTCTTTCCACAGTCAGAAACATCTGAAAGAGAAAAACTGTCCGTTATTTGTGTATTTCAGATTTTTTCACTGTCAGCTACAGGCAAAACCCCAAGTTCTTTCAATATAAATGAAGCATCTTCCAGAACTGTCCAACAGAAGCTGTCCAACAGAAATCCAGTCCTCTGGATCACTGAATTACTAAAGCTCCAGTACAAGCTATTTTGAGTTTAGTTATGCAATCACTCAGTTTTTAAGGCAGTTCAAGCCTTGTCTTCTCCAGGGAGCTGAGGGCTCCACTGTAAGCTTATAAGTCTACCACATATGCGTATCTTTCAGTGCATGCAAAGTCATTCCGAACATGTTTATCTTTGTTTCTCCAGCTTATCTCTAAGCTCCACAACAGATCTGCTTTAGTTGTTCATGTCAACAGCCCAGCATTGAATGGGACAAAAAAGTACACGTAAGAAAACTGACAGTGGTTTAGCAATTCTAGGCCTACAATTTAGATTTGAGCCTTTTTAGAAAAGCATTTGTAGAACAATCTCAACCAATCTGAACTTCCAAATTAGCTCCAACAGTTCAGATTTGATTATAATGTCTTTAATCTCAGGAAATGGGCTGTCTCTGCAAATCACTCCCAGCTTTCATATTTTTTATCTGTGCCAACTGCAAAAAAATTCCTCAGATAGGATCTCTGTGGATACATCTTTTACCTGAATGAATTTTAATGTTATTTTATGGAGCCTTTTGTATTTTTGCAAATTGAACTTGGTGGAACAGACATGTCTCACTACATATGGAATCCAATTCTGATTATATGTACGCTATCGGAATTGTTTACATACTTCTCTATCCTATCATATACACCCAAATTACTCTAAGGACTAAGTTAGATGACCTGCTAAGGGCTCCACTAACAAGGTAGAGTCCTCCCCTGGAGAACCGGTATCAAAATGACGGTCTACTACATGCTTAGCCAGATCAGTTATCAATAATCTTTCTTGAATTGAGGATATAAATCAGTAACAGAAGACATGTCTGGTATGTTTGAAGCCACAGGTTTGACCCCATAAAATGTGCGCACACACACACACACACACACACACAAACTTCCTTAGTAATTGTGCTACAATTTACAAAACTTCAGCTGAGCTAGAATACTCAGATATTTACATTTCACGGGGGGGGGGGGGGGGGGGGGGGGAAGCCTCATCTTTTCCTAGAAAGCGAACTAAAAAGCTCACACAGAGACAGCCTGCCCAGTTTTTTTTGACTATTTAACATCTTTCAGACAACCTGCATTCAAAACCTCCCATGTGACACCCAGACAGTTCCCAGTCATTACAGAAGACAGGGCAGTGTTGTGTGTGTAAGCTGGGACCTATCAGAGACACTCATGTAAACGCGATAACAGGAAGACATACAAAAGCAGGTGCTTGGTAAAAAAATCCTTTATTCTGGCTAGGATTTAGCTTCCGAGGTAGAAACTGACATCTAGTGTTCAAGCAGTAAAAGTGCAAGCTATCATTTTTTACACCCAAAGAGTGCTACAAAGACTATTTCTTTGCCAAACAAAGCATGATTTGAATGCTATTTCTCATTGTATTGGCATCCCCCAATTTAAAAAAAATTATTAGTGAAACACCATGAGGTACAGTTGTAGACTTACAAATTTTTGTGCTTGGGTTTCAGTTATACAATGATCGAGTACCCATCCCTCCACTAGTGCCCATTCTCCACCACCACTAATCCCTAAATTTTAAGATTCTTTTACTACTCCTTTACAAACACCCTAACTGTGTTGGTAACCTTTTTAAATCTACTGACATAGGACTTAAAACAAAATCCAGGGTCTAAATAGTACAGAGGTCAGTAAAGTAAGTAAAGGCCCTCCCGTTGATCATCGATTTGCTCGAGCGGGCCCAGTAACGTCTCCATTGGAGACTTTGTTGTTACTGTGTTTGGCATATCGAATATGTCATGGGGAGCCTGCCAGGCCCTGCCGTTCGGGCGAGATACTCTCGGTAGCTTGCCGGGCTCTCCGAGAGGGGCGGAGGAATCAAACTCGGGTCGGCCCTGTTGGCTGCGTGCAAGGCAAACGCCCTACCACTGTGCTATAGCTCCAGCCCCTTTACAGAGGTAAAGGGCTATAATGGTTCGAATTCTGCTAGACAGTCCCCCAATCACTAGAGATGTGTGCTGCCCTCCCCTGTCCTCCAGGATTGTGGGAAAGGAGATGGCAAAAAGGGCTGGAGCACATGCTTGCATGGGGGATGCCTGTGTTCAATCCTCAGTATGGCATGGTCTCCCAACATTGCCAGGAACAACTGCTAAGAATTGTACCAGTAGTAACCCCCCCTAAGAACGCTAGGTGAGGGTCCCATCACCCTCTCCTTGACACACACTACCACCACCAAATCCAGGACCTAGACCAAGTTGTCTTGCATGCCTGAGGCCTTGAAGGGCCTTCAAACCCTAGCAATACAAGGGGGTGGGGGGAACCCAAAACTGATGGCTAAAGGCCTTGGGGGTTGCTCAGGCTCTGCCTTGCAAGTCTGAAGAAGAGTCTGACTTAAGTTTGGACCCTGCAACTCTATCTGGGATCTCCAGCACCACGACAGAGCGCGGTCCTGTCAATGGCTGGTGAGCACAGTGAAAGAGCTGTGCACACATGAAGTACAGTCTCACAGCCGGGAGCGGATAAGTATCAAGAGCAGGGAGGACTTGCTTTCTTTGTCTGGGATGAACTCTCATGGGCGGAACCAGAGGACAAGCGTTATCTGTTGGGGGTGGGGCTCTGGTATTACAAGATATCTGTACATTTAGCAACTTCCCTTTCTTCTGAGATTAAAAAAAAAGCAATTTCAGTTATCAAATGGTAAGCAGAGATAACCTAAATTTAAGCCGCATTCAATACCCATACAATTGGCAAAATCGTTTCCAAATGTAAATAAGTGTGTTGAAACACATATTCATTATTTTTTTTTTCCAATATATTTTATTCTGATGACGTTACAAAAGTAGATACAAAATACGTTTTTTAAAGAACAGTTAACTGACTTAGAAAAATAGATAAAAGTCCCGAAAAGGCTTAAAAATACAGCATGAATTTTAATGTAAAGAACATTTTAAGATAATGGTAACTAAGACTAACTTATACAAACTATTTTCAATGTAGACCAAACACTGAATGTTGTCCTATAATAAATCTACAGCATATGCAATCCATTTGGACTTACAAAATACTTGTTTAGGATACACTCTGATAAAGAACAGAAAACAAGTAAATTTCAATGCAATTACTTCAATTAAAAAAAATCATCGCTACAACATGAATTCCCGCCCCCCCAAAGTCTTTTATACAGTCAGGAATATCAAAATCTAATACAAAGAAGGAAAATTAAGGGGACAACTTTTCATTTTGTCTAAATTCTGTATTAGTAAAACCCAAAATCCATTCACTGGACTGCTCACAGGAGGAACTCAAGTCGCTGTTGGAGATGCTCATGGCTGGCATCCCAGCCTGCATTTTGCAGTTGAGTCTCCTCTCCTGGAGACAGCCCCTATAACCATGCGGGGAACTTTTAGCACCATGACTGGCTGCTTAGAAACAAATCTCTATAATTCAAACTCTTTGGACTGGATTTGTTTAACTTTTGAGGCAACGATGTTCCACTTACAAACTCCTCTTCTCGTACAATCTCACTGCTCAGAAAAAGAAGTCTACCATCTAACCCGAAAAATCCAACAATGGCTGCAAACCCCCACTTTTTTTTTTCCAGGCTAGGACTGTTTCTCTAGCCTCTACATTACAACAAAGACTTTCGCTTTGTCATCTAGTCCCAGGAATATAAGATTTCCAGGTTCCCCCCACCCCGCCCCAAGCAGACAGCTATATAAGCTTTAGGTTCTGAAAGTCTAAGACGAAAGAAATACTTTTATTAGCTGACAGCCTTGTGACATAGCTTTATTCATAATCTGAAGAATAAAGAATACAATTAGCTGTCAATATAAAATCTGCAATACAAGAAAGTTTTAATATTTAAACAAAACTCTGCACATCATTGTCCACAGTTTTTTATTAAATGCCTGAAAATTAAAGCACCAGAGGATGATGAATTGCATAATTGAGCACAAATGTCCTGCCCATGACTGTAATCAGTTGTGAGGAACACAGAGACACACCGGGAGGGAATGGCTTCTGATTAGGAGCGGGCAGGGGTGAATGCTGTGCAACACAAGATCCTGGGCACAGGGAGATAAAACCAAAGTGAGAGGAGTCAGAGCTGGACTGATTTTTTCCAATTCTTATCAAGGCCGACCTTCCCAGCAAGCCAGGAAGGCGCTATCCTCTCCCTTTCCTCCAATTCTCCTCCTGCCCTGACTCTTGGTCTGGATGTAAACAAATAATGTTAACACTCATGTTTAGATGCCTTTGTTAGCTGCATCACACTGGCTTAGGAACCTGGTAATGTTTTCAATGTTCTGTTTTTCAGTATGAAAGAAGTCAATCTCAAATTACCAACAAAGTTCTTTAACTGATGTCCCACAAAGATAAAGCCTTTATTACTGTTCGAGCCATCTTTGGTTTGTTTTGAGGTTGTGTCATGAAAAGGAGAATTTCTAACAAGAAAGTGTTAGAAATGTGAGTAAAACCTAGCTCAGAAATAGAATCTCACTTCTTGCATAAAAAAAAAATTTTTTGTTAAGTCAACAAGGTTTAAAACTGAGACGCTTTTTCTAGAGATAGTATAGGAGTAGGGTGTCTGCCTTGCACACGCCTGACCTGGTTTTGATCTCAGCTACCCCTTATGATCCCCAGAACACCGCCAGGAGTAGCCCCTGAGCACTGCAGGATATAACCCCCCCCCCAAAAAAAATTAAAACATTAAAATGCAAAAAAATACACTTGAGAAGCAGTTAACATTTTAGGTGGCACATGGCGTCTGCTTCCTTGTTTGCAAATTATCAACATAAACAAGCAAATGCTGTACAGGGAACTGTTTAATATGCTTCAAGATAGACTGTGCAATATTTCAGAGGCTTTTCTTTTTCATAGTGATCCCACTCTTTATTACTTAAAGAATGATGCATGGTTTCAGTGTAAATTAGATATTTACTTTCTTTAAAGTTTGGTTTACATATTTAACAATTTATGAAATTGAGTTTAAAAATGAAGTTTTTATTTTCATGATATTCTAACAGAAAAAAAATAACAACCATCAAAAAAACTTTGAAACCTGACAACCCTTTCTCTCACTGGGATTGGAGGTCAGTGGTAGAGTGCTAAGCTTGTATGTGTGGGCCTTGGTTTCAACTCCCAGCATCACAAAATGAAAACAAACCAAACAAACCCAAAACACCCCCCACAAGCTATCAAAGTTATTCATCAAAGTCACCAGGAAGTTGGTAGACACTGCACAATCACAGCTCTAAAAAAGAGAACGCTGCTGTGCTGAAAGCTTTGTCAGTAGAGCAAGTCTTCAGTATACTTATGCCTTAATACATTTTAACTAGAGCTAGAATTTACTAAATCTTAGAAAGTAAAAATCAGATCAATTTTTTTGTTTTATCTCCCCCCCCCTATTTTGGGGCCACACTCAGTAATGCTTATGTGGCTTACTCATGGCTCTGTGCTCAGGAATTATTTCTGATGGTACTTGTGGAACCATATGGGGTGCTGGAGATCGAATCCAATCTGGGCTGGTTGTGTGCAAGGAAAATTGCCCTATCCATTGTACTACCACTCCAGTCCTAAGTTCTGTTCTTCACTAACAGTGGAGATCATTTTTTTTTTTTTAATCCCAAAAGAAACAGAATAAATTCAAGTTTTGGTATGAAAACAATCTAAAACCAGGGAAAAAGCCCAAATGGAAACTCAATCTGTCATCTGATTAATAAAAACGAGGCTTTCAGAAGTTTATTCTTCCCATTTTGTCTCATGTAAACACAGGTAAACACACTCATAAACAGGTAGCACACCAAAACTTTTAGCTGTTACATAAGTGTACACCCTTCAAGGGTTTTTTTTTTTTATTATTGTGGGTCTCCAGTCTTATGCATTATTCATGCATTTCTAAGCTACTCTTAATTCTCAAGTCACCATAAAAACAGAATAAAACTGAGTACTTTTGAGTATCTTTTTATATTCTCTTACATAAAATTTCAAGCTGGCTAAAAACCACTGTGCAAGAAAACAATGGTTTTGAGACCTAAATCTATCATAATTGGGAAAAAGTTTTCTTTTCATTTTTTTCCAGCCAAAGGCTACACATAAAATTAATCTGAATGAAACCATTTCAAAATAAAATTCTCACATGATCATTTTCACATGACTTAAAAATTATTTTACATACACACACACACACCTAAAAATTTAGACAGGTTTATGTGGGTAAGTCATTTTAGAAATAACTTCAGTTACTCCCATACTGTGTATTCATAAGATGATTTAAACAGCAATCAGGGATTTTGAAAAAATATACATATATTTTCTTAACTATAAAACCATAACATACAAATTTTAAACTAAAAGATCATCCAAAGTAACATAAATGTTCTTTACCTTAACGAAACTTAAAAATACCTATCTTATTTGTAAAATAAAAACAAGAGTAAAACAATCTGTGTTATCAGGAAAAATGCTCTGGAAACTTACTAATAAATTATTGGTGGAAATTCTTAATATTCACCTAAAACAGACTTTATCGTCTTTCTCAATAAAGAAATAAGTAAACTAATAAAGTATAGATCAGTTATTATATTTCACAACCAGGCACGACTGTGTCAGTAACAGGTGTGGTCACACAGTACCTCATACTCTTGGCTGTGTCCTCAATTTCTCTCTCTGAAGGCATTAGGCTTACCTACCTTTGAGACAACTTTATAGGCAGCCATAGACATTAAGTGTCTCTTTATCTTTCTGTAAAGTTTGTATCACTAGTCTATAACAGATTGCAATGAGATAGTTCTAGCAGTGAGTGAAGCAAGAAGATAACTGAGTTCTGGAAGAAACATTTATCTGTCTTTAGATCCAAGCTTCTCGATTAACTCCTGAAGCGGTGCCAATTCACGCCTATCAATGAGATTAAATTCCTGGGGAAAAAAAAATTTAAATCAATCTAAAATCACAATTTTGTAAATGTCATTTAGGGAAGGAACTCCGATTTTTCTGAAATCCAAATTTAGTTTTCTGAATAAGATGTAGTCTGTATTTTTTTTTCTTTTTCTAGTGAAACACCATGAGGCACAGGTGCAGACCCACAAACCCCTGTGCTTGGGCTTCCTTCACACAATGATCGAGTGCCCATCCCTCCACCAGTGCCCATCCTCCACCCCCACTAATCCCAGTATCCCTCCCACCCCCCCCCATCCCACCCTGCCTCTGTGGCAGGGCAACCCCCCCCCCCCCCCCATCTCTCCCTCCTCCTGGGTGCCTCGGCCCGCAAAAGAGGCATCAAGGAGCAATCACGTTCGGTCCACAGTCCACTCCCAGCATGCCTCTCCCATCCTGGGGGGATCCTCAACACCCTCCATCTGGTGCTCCCCTGTATATCTGGGCTGCATTTATCCCTAGAGTGTGAAGCTATGGCCTATATTTTAAAATAAGATTAACTATTACCTCCTTCACTAAAACCTGAGAATTTTAAAGCTAAGAAACTGTATGTCAGCATGTTCCTCACTTTGCTAACTTAAGTGATGCTTGAATTTATATAGAAATTACTTGAAAACTACTAATTCTAAACTTAGGCTAAAGTTGGAGCCATACCAGCTGTGCTCAAGACTTACCCCCGACTTAGCACTGAGGAATCACTCCTGGCAATGCTCAGGAGACATACAGGGTATTAAGACTGAACCCAGGCTGGCCGCATTCAAGGTAAGCACCCTGCTTGCTGTTCTATCTCTGGTAACTCAACCTGAAATAAGCCACCAATGAGGTATTCCAAATTTCTTTTCCTGGCAAAGACTTTCATGAAATAATCCAACTGCAAACATCTTCCCAAATGATTACTTTACCCAGCAGTTGCAATGAAACAGAGAAGCTAAGGTGTCCAGAGGCAGAAGGCCCAAAATATGGGCAACAGTTTTCTAGGCTGCTTTGCAAACCAATGAAATAAACATCATGCAAAGGACAAGAAAATAGAAGAGAATCCTGCTTATATTTTTCTGCATTGAACTCTACATCTAAAATTAAGACATTGCTCTTTAATTACGTTACCAAAATTAGATCTGGTCTAAGTAAGACCAAATCTAAGGCTGCAAAAGTTAACATGGTACAACATACCTGAACAAAAAAGATAAAGTGCTTAAAGGAGGTGTTGAGGTGGGCCTCCTCCTGCAGCTGCATCACAGAGTCAAAGTGCTGGTGATAAATATGAGCATAAACCCTAAAGAGACGCTTTAGGATGGTCTTTGCCACAGACATGAAGTTTTTGGGAAACGGGACACCTGTAATCAAATGTACACACACACACACACTGATTAGTCTTTAATTATACAAAAACACGTTCAGACTCTGCCACATGCAACTCCAACAATAAACTCACTCCACAAATACAGACCTGTTTTCATTTTTGTTTTGGGGCCGGCCCTGGTAGTGCTCAGGGCTTACTTCTGGCTCCATGCGTGCAACACAAACACCCTAGTCTCTGGCCCTTCTATCTCTTAAAGATAAGGAGGGCTGGGGAGATAGCTTAACATGCTGACCTGGTCCTGCAACTGGTGTTAGTTAAATCACATTCAAGTAAGCCACTGCTGGAACGTGCTGAAGTTAACATTGGAGTGCATGCTCTGCATACCACAGACCTGGGTTTGATCTCCAGCACTGCATGGTCTCCTGAGCACCACTGGGAGTGCAAACTACCAGAAATGTCTCCCTTCCCCCCATCTCCGAGGTGTGGGTCAACACATTTAAAAAAATAAAAGTAGGATTCTATCCCCTGTACCACATATGGTTCCCTGAGTTCCACCAGGAGTAATCCCTAAGCACAGAGCCAGAAGCTATGAGCACTGCTGGGTGTGACCCCCAAATCAAAATATATAAGTAAAGAGAATTCTTTCTTTTCCTTAATCTTTTTAAAAATGAAGTTATTTTCTCTCAATTTTATTTCTCTACCAGTCTCTAATAGTTTGAAATGCAGTTAATTTTACTCTTGTAAGTCGGTTTTTATGGCTTTCTCTCCAGTCTTGAGTAGTTCATCTTTTAACACATTATATTTCAGTGCTTATGGGGCCAATTCTCTGGACTGGGTCTTATATTTATGTATAGAAAAGTCTGTACATTATTTTTAGTTTTTTTTTCTTTTTGGGTCACACCTGGCAATGCACACGGGTTACTCCTGGCTCTGCACTCAAAAATTATCCCTGGCGGTGCTCAGGGGACCATATGGGATGCTGGGAATCAAACCCGGGTTGGCTGCGTGCAAGGCAAATGCCCTACCCGCTTGCACGTTATTTTTAAATGAAACTCCTTTCACTTTGGGTGCCTTATTTTTTGTAGCACTGTAGTACTGTCCTCCCATTGTTCATCAATTTGCTCGAGCAGGCCCAGTAACGTCTCTTATGAGACTTGTTACTGTGTTTGGCATATCGAGATGCTCTTGGTAGCTTGCTGGGCTCTCCGAGAGGGGTGAAGGAATCAAACCTGGGTCGGTCGCATGCAAGGCAAACACCCGATGGCTGTGCTATCGCTCCAGCCCCCTTATTTTTATAAAAGGAAAAAAAAAAGAATAGTAATAACTTGTATGAGTCTGGGGAGACAGCTAAAAAGCCTGACTATGACCTCTAGAACAGCAATAACGCTCCAAAAAACAAGCCAGGAGAAGCCCCTTTCCAGTACCACCACTAGGTATGCCTCCCACCCAAGCAACAAAATCTAAACTTTAAATAAATAAATAAAATACACACACACACACACACACACAATAACAGTTCATTACCAAGAATAATCTGTGCTAGGGTCTGCAGAGATAGTACAGGGACTAAGGAGCAGGCCCTACATGCAGTCTCCCTGGTTCAACACCCTGCTCTACATGGTCCCCCGAGCATCACTGTGTACAGCCCTGCAGATCCTGAGCTCTGCCTGGGGAATTCCCTGAGCACTGCATTCTTAGGCCCTGGCACTGGACACTAGTCTAGTTGGCTGACAATTGCAGGGAAGAGCCCCAGGACCCTGAGCACCACATGGAAGGCCCCTGTCACCTGTTGTGCATATACAGGAGGCCCAGGATCAACCCTTGGCACCACACAGTGCCCCCAGCCTGCTAGGTGTGGCCTCCCATCCCAAAGCAAACAATTTAAATGCTCATATTCTTCCACAAGGGGGAGATTTTTAATATATAGAGAAATGCATGTTTGCATCTGAACACTTTTCCAAGTTATTTAGGTTCAAACATTATTTCTGTATGTTTTGTCATAGAATACAGACTCAAAATACAATATAGACGTCAATGTACAATAAAGTTTTGGTATACTGCATTACTGTATGCTTTTGTATTTTGTATATTTTATATTTCATCATACAATATGCCATAGAGACTTTCTGAGAAAGAAAGTGAAAGGTTTAATAATAAAATTAAAAAATTGACCAAAGTGAAAACAGTATGATAGGAAAAAATGTCTGAAGTCACTTTTCCATTACAGAGAAACCCTTGTTCTCCCTTGAACATAGATCTCTCTCTCCCCTCACATTCTCTAAATAAATTCCTTAAAACTATTTTACTTCATTTAAAAAGAAAAAAAGGAAACAAGAAAAACTATCTACATCAACTTACCAATCTTAGAAGGAAAAAGAGTTTCATCATCAAGTTGATCCTGAACCCAAGTCATCAAATAGTCAATGTATTTTGGTGCAGAACACTTGATTGGCTTTTTAATATTAGTACCATCTGCCCAGTGATATTCATACCTGGAGAAAGAAAAGTTTGCTGATAAGGTTTTCTAAAATATTAACAAATGTGCAATGTATAATCAAAAACAGATTCAGAGTTTCTACTCTGTTTCACTTCTGAGTGTCCCACAGAAATTACCTAGAACTAGAAAATTAAAATTCTTCTCAAGACTAGTAACAGCTCCCTTGCAGTAGTCTAAATTCTGATGGCTATAATTAGAAGAGAAATGACCAAGGATATAATTCAGTGCTGGAATGCATGCCTCACATGGATGAGTTCCATTAATCCCTCCCTGGTATCTTCCTCCTCAAATAAATTAATTGAAAAATAACTGGAAAAGAAAAGGATGAAAACAGAGGAACACTGTTTACAACAGTCCTGGGAAAGAGACAGGGACTGCATTCCTGTCTTGTCAGGCAGAAGGTGGTGAGGACTGTGTTAGAGGCTGATGAATGCCACACACCGAGATCCCTGGTTATCAAGTCATCACCAATACAGTCACAATGAAAGTTCTATTTCTTGGAGATGGTGTTAATAAAACACCCTCAGATCATTCCCCCAGACCTCACCTTTGCTGAGCTAGAATGACTAACATGATTTACGCTAAACTTTACTGTGTAAAGAATTTAAGTAGGTATAATGTTCCTCCTTGTTTTAAGTGTTCTAAGGAATTTAATTTCTGGGCCCAGAGGATAAGGCGCTTGCTTTACATGCAGCTGGCCCAGGTTAAAACCCTTGCATCCCCGATGATCCCCAAGCCCTGCCAGGACTAATCCCTGAGTGCAGAGCTAGGAGTAACCACTAAGCACTACTGCTGTAGCCCCAAAGTCCCCCTGCTCCAAAGAAAAACAAAATATTTATAATTTTATTTATATCAATAACAAGTTTTTTTTCAATATCTCAAACCCCTATGGTAGTATATATACCGTGGCCCCGCAGACATGACTGGGCAGCTCGCTTCAGTGCAGAATTCTGTAATGGTTCCATATAGCATGTTGATTTGGTTGAAGAAATCCACAGCTAGAAAGGTAACAAGAAAACTGCAGTAAACTTTTTAAAATGCATTAAAATCGTAGCAAATATAACAATTCTTCAGACCTCCCAGTTGAAGGAAAAATGGACAATGCATGCAATCAAGTTCTTGGGTACATCCTTAGGTAATTCAACAACTCCGAAATAATGTAAATTTTATTTAAGTTGCTGCATTAAGTTAACTGTTTATAGTCACTAATAATACAGTAAGATTTTAACCAGTCTAAAACAGCATGAGAAATGAGATGTTAGATAACTAAATGATTATTACATCATTAGAATAAATGATTTTATTACATCTAAGAGAGTTGAAAAAAATCCCACAGCATTTTACAAATATGGACAGATAGCAGCATTTGTGTTAATAAAGAGAAATGTTATAAAATAAACTAAAGGGAGGAACATCAGTTATATCAAAAGGTTTTTTGTTTTGTTTTGGGGCTACACCTGCTCTGGCCCTCAAAAGATATTTTTAAAAATCTACTTCAGGGTGGCGGGAGAAATAGTACAGTGGGTAAGGTGCTTGCTTTGTACACACGGGACCTGAGTTAGATCCTCAGTATTCCATGTGGTCCCCCAAGCACCATTAAAAGTTAATTCCTAAGTGCAAATCCAGGAGTGACCTCTGAGGGTCACTGGGTAGGACTCAAAAACTTAAAACACAACACAACACAAGACAAAAAAACTACTTCAGGGGGCTGGAGAGAGAGTACAATGGATAGGGCAATTGCCTTGCACGTAGCCAAGCCCGGTCTGATTCCTTGGCACCTCTATCCTCCCCCAGCACAGCCAGGAGCAATTCCTGAGAATAAAACCAGGAATAACCCCTGAGCATCATCAGGTATGGCCCCAAACAAAAGAGAACAAAACAAAGAGAGAGAAAAAATTTGAGGTCTAATGTATACTGAAGCACATAAAAAGGCCACTGGGAAAAAAATGCTCCTTCTCTTGGGAGTCTCCAGCTGAAGGAGGGACAAAATTCAAAGAGATAAATCTTAAGACAGGATTCAAATGTGAATAGTAAGTGCTAAAGACTTAGAGAAAAGGCAACAAATTTCCAAGATCAGACAGTCATATAGAGTTTTTTTTTTTCTTTTTGGGTCACACCTGGCGATGTTCAGGGGTGACTCCTGGCTCTGCACTCAAAAATCACTCCTGGCGGTGCTCAGGGGACCATATGGGATGCTGGGAATCCAACCTGGGTTGGCCCCATGCAAGGCAAATGCCCTATTCCCTGTGCTACTGCTCCAGCCCCAGTCAGAGAGTTCTCAAAGAGCTTCATTAAGGTAAGTAATAAAAAGGAAGAGGGCAGGCAATTAACTGAATAAACCATATTACTCAGCAGAGAACTACAAACCCTTAAACTATATAAACTACATAAACGTTTTCATAAAATGAAAAGTTTTAATATATGTTTTAGTTTCTGTTTACAGAATACATAAAGTCCTCACCAGATAAATCTCTGTGTGTGTGGAGGGTAATCCAGCCCACCCAAGGAGAAATACATAAAATCAACGGAACTTTGCACAGTTTCTTAGAAATTAGAGAAACTTCCATCTTGTCAAAAAGGATTTAATACAGATCTCTTCATAAACAACTTTCCTCTTAATCACGTTTTGTTTTTAATTTGGTATTTTGGAATTTGAAAATTTGAAATTATTACATATAACGTACAAAACAAAAAGCTCTATGTGGGGGGAGAAACGTTTAAAAATTTGGGAAGGGGGTTTCATCTATACTTGGTGATGCTGGAGTCTTTCCCGGGAAACACACTCAGGGTCATTACTACCAGTGCTTAGGGGATAAAACCCAAGGCTCCTTCTTGTAAAACATGCAACTCCAGCCCTCTGCATGATCCTCTGACCTCTCATGTTTCTCAATTTTTAACTAATGAAATCCTAAAACCATCAAGTTTGACAAGAGTTAATGTAGAGTAATAAATCTCAAAGAAAATCTTTTTAAAAAAGATTCAAAGAAAAGGCTGAAGGCCTACAAATGCTTTCAGAATAACATAATTGGGGCTGGAGCGATAGCACAGTGGGTAGGGCATTTGCCTTGCATGTGGCCGACCCGGGTTCTATTCCCAGCATCCCATATGGTCTCCTGAGCACTGCCAGGAGTAATTCCTGAGCGCAGAGCCAGGAGTAACCCCTGAGCATCGCCAGGTGTGACCCAAAAAGAAAAAAAAAACCCACAAAAAAACCCCCATAAAAAACCAACAACCAGAATAGCATAGCACAGTGGGTAGGGCGTTCGCCTTGCATGCAACAACATATCCGACCCAAGTTCGATTCTTCCGCCCCTCTTGGAGAGCCCGGCAAGCTACCGAGAGTCTCTCGCTTGCACAGCAAACCCTGGCAAGCTCCCCGTGACGTATTCGATATGCCAAACACAGTAACAACAAAGTCTCACGATGGAGATGTTACTGGGCCTGCTCAAGAAAATTGATGAACAATGGGAGGACAGTGACAAATACAATTTTAAAAACAGGAGAAGTGGGGGGCTGGAGCGACAGTACATCAAGTAAGACATTGACCTTGCACGTGACCTTGCACCTTGGGTTCTATCCCTGGCATCCCATCTGGGTCCCCTAAGCAATGCCAGGACTAATTCCTCAGTGCAGAGCCAGGAGAAACCCTTGAGCATCGCCAGGTGTGACTCAAAAAGCAAAATAATAAATAGAATCTTAAAAAAAAAAAAAGCGACACGGGGCCAGAGTGGTGATAGTAAAATGGGTAGGGTGCTTGCCTTGCACATGGCGAACCCAGGTTTGATCCCCAGTACCCCATAAGATTCCTAGAGCTTTGCCAGAAGTGATCTCTGAGTGCAAAGCCAGGAGTAAGTCCTAAGCACAGCTGGGTGGGCATAGCACCCCTCTCCACAAAAAAAAAAAAAAAAAAATTTAAGCGCCACAGTGCAGATACAGAACATTTACCTGATTGCAGAAAGTTATATTAGACAGTGTTGTTTCAGAGCTAATAATTATAGGAAATAAAGGGGGGAGGGTGGGCTGATCAGTAATAGATGCCTTGGGGGATACTATCAGCAAAATTCCTATGTGGTAAACAAACATTAACCACAACAAAATAGAAAGACTTATGGAGACCGGGGTACTCAGGAGACAGTGCCTGCTCTGTGAGCCATGAGGTGGGAGTTTCATCTCTGCCACCACTCCACATGTCAAGTGCTAACCCAGTGGCAACGCTGTTTATAGTCCCTGGCAGGGCATCAAAGGATATAATCTATGGAGCACAATAACAAAAATATGCAATTCACCTACAAAGTGTATGACGCCCCCTCCCACACCCTGCAATGAGGACCACAAACAAGTGTGTGACAACTAGAAAGGATGGGGAATGAAGGGAGGGTGTGAAGAAAAGCAAAAGACTGTGATGGGAGATCTGTAAATTCAAGAAAAATTATGTACAGGCCTTACTAGGTCTTGAACAAACCACAAATTTGTTTAAGAGGAACATCTATAAGACATCAGAGAAACTATGAACATTGTGCATTTGCTGACATTAAAAAAAGGCACATATTGTCTTTTTTTTTTTTTTTGCTTTTTGGGTCACACCCAGCGTCGCTCCAGCCCCCATTATTATCTTTAAAAGGGGGAGTTCCTATCTTAAAGAGATATTAAATGCTTAAAAGATAAAAAATATATATGGAATTCTACAGGAAGATAGATTGGCCATTAATTGATCATTGTTATAGAATAGGGATATCTGGAAATTCATTGTGCTAGTCTCTCTACTTTTTTACGGTTCAAAAATTTCATTAAGTTGAAAAATAATTCCTAGGGGCTGGAGAAATAGTACAGCAAGTAGGGCGTTTTCCTTGCACGTGGCCAACTCAGGTTGGATTCCCAGCATCCCATATGGTCCCCTGAGCACCACCAGGAGTAATTCCTGAGTGCAGAGCCAGGAATAATTCCTGTACATCACCAGGTGTGACCCCCCCCAAAAAAAAATTCCTACTAAATTATGTAAAATTCCTAAAAGATTTAAACCTTATTTCCCAGATCTGAATTCATTTCAGAAAAGAGAGACTTAGGGCCAGAGCAACAGCATAGTGGGTAGAGTGCTTGCCCAGCAGGCAGGTGACCTGGATTTGATCCCTCAGCATCCCTTGAACACTGCCAGGAGTAATTCCCAGTGCAAAGCCAGGAGTAACCCCTGAGCACTGCTGGATGTGGCCCAAAATTTTAAAAAATCAAAAAACAAAAATAAAAAGTGAAAGACTTAACCGAGACAAAAATGTCTAGCCTCAGCATATGTCTATGCTGACTTCACTTCCTGAAAGTCAGAGTAACTTTCAGTTGAAGGAACCCTCTGTTTCCTCCCAATCTCTCTCAATTTCCTCTGACTACTCATCAGTCACAATCATCAAGTAACTAACCAGGTACATTACAAATGAACTTTTCTCTCTATGTAGGCAGATCGAAGGACCAGGAGCAGAGACTCTACTCTGAAGACAGATGATTCTGATCAACAATTTTTTTTTTTTGGTCACACCTGGTGATGCACAGGGGTTACTCCTGGCGGTGCTCAGGGGACCATATGGGATGCTGGGAATCGAACCTGGGTTGGCTGCGTGCAAGGCAAACGCCCTAACCACTGTGCTGTATCTCCAGCTCCTCATCAACAATTCTTAGCAGTATCTGCAGAAACTGTCCCGAAGTATTTACTATTTTTCCTCAGGTCTTGACCACATAAGCTACAAATACTCTGAAGAGAGCAACAATCAGAAATGTATTTGTAAAATACTCTATAGTTAATGTTACATTATCATGCTATACTATTATCAGAAATAACTCATCCCTGTAAAAGAAAATTCATTAAAAATATGCCAGAAGAATATGGTTCTCGTAATTCAGCAAAGTTGAATATTATTAAAAACTTACTGTTAACGGCGATCCATTCATTGAGGTCCTCTCCCTCCGGCAACATAACAGCCTGTCTCAGATTCCCGCTTCCTAGAGTTGCTTCTGCATGTTTCAAGAGTTCATACTGATGAGATCCTTCAGGGATATTCTTCTTTGGTTTGAATGTTTTAGAAGAGCGGCTGCTGCTGTTAGGTTAAAAGTTGGGGGTGGGGGAGATATATCAATATTTAGGACAAAGGCAGAATGGCTTATTTTAGGCATCTAACTTTTTCTGATACTAAAAATTCCACATAAAAAGTGCCAGGATGGTGGGGACTGGGGGTGGGTTGAAAGAAAGAGAGATGGCCACAGTAAAAGAATGCTTTAAAATGTTCTTTCCTCACAGAGAAGCAACAATCAACCCAACTGCACACAGGAGATGATTTGACTATGTTTCATGAAATAATTTACTGTAATAGAAAGGTGACTTTAAACAAAAGAAGGAAAAACCAGGATTCTAGTTCTTCTACCAAAAAAAAAAAGCTTGATTTTAAATCTGCCTCTAACTCCATGACTATGTGAGAAACCTAATCCAGTTTAGGTTTCAATTCCAACTACCAAAAAGGGTGAGGGAGATAGCCCTAGGGGTCTCACAGCCATGCCAACAAAGCAAACTACAAAAGTAACACTAACACGGGGAAAATAAAAGAAAGGGAAAATAAATGAGAAGATTAGTGATAGGAGGAAAATATGTTTTTTTTTTTTAACTTCGTTCTGGTGGGGTTGGCATTTGAACCTAGGTTCTCAATCATGCAAGGAATGCTCTCTACCGCTGAGATACTACCTCTGTCCTAAGTTTTTACTCTTATTATTATTATTTTTGCTTTTTGTGCTCAGGGGTTACTCCTGGCTCTGCACTCAGGAATTACTCCTGGTGGTGCTTGGGGGACCATATGGGATGTCGGGGATTGAACCCAGGTTGGCTGCGTGCAAGGCAAATGCCCTACCCGCTATGCTATCGCTCAGGCCCCCTAATCTCATGCTATCCACAAGGAAAATCGTCCTAACACACCACCCAGAAAAAAAAATGTATCTATAAAGCTTCCTTAACAGTGCAGAGACATCTAACAAGGAAACCACTTACAACATACATTACAAAAAATTAACTGTATAATACTCTAATCTATTAAGGAAAAAGGAGGAGCCTGAGCCACACAGCAGCAGGGAGTATGCCTTCCATGTTGCTGACCCAGGTTCAATCCCCAGAACCCTATATGGTTCCCCAAGCCCTGCCAGGAGTAACCCCTTAGCACAGAGCCAGGAGTAAGCCCTGAGCATTGCTAGGTGTGGCCAGAGAAGCAACAATCAACAATTGGCCAAAAGCAAACAAAACAAGAAAGGACACTTGAGAAAAAGGGGCAAAGGAAGAAATAGGAAACTCTTAAAAACATAATGAGTGAGGACCATCTGAAAGGTAGTCAATTAAAATTGTATTTATTGTTCCTCAATCTGAGTATCAGAAATTAAAACAAGTGTGGGTCAAGGGATAGTCTTTATATACCCTGACCCTTTAATATGTTGAGTGCATAATATTTAGGAAAATTAGTCCTCCTATATGGGTAAGAGGATACGTCTCCTATATGGATAAGAGGATGTTTTAAAAGTTTTTGTTTGTTTGGTTTGGGGTCAAGTTTAATGCTTAGGGGTTCATGTGTGCGGAGGATCAAACCCAGGCCTCCTGCATGCAAAGCAAATCGGCCCAGAGTTTTCTCTTCAGAATCTTAAGATTGTTTTAATGATGAAAAACCTGAAAACAAACCCAAAGGTGATTAGTAGAGAAATGAACTGTGACTCAGTCTCATAATGAACTACTGTCTAGTTGTGAAGAAGACATGCAGTGACACGGAAAAAGCTTAAAACACTGGACTAGGAGAAAGAGTGTAATGAGTTAGAATGTCTGCCTCCTAAGCACATGGTCTTGAGTTCAAATCCTTAGTCTCTTTTACTGTGTTAAACAAGATCCTGGCAGCTCTGCTGCCTGCGATCCTTCACGCTATAAGAGACGCCAGACGCACCATAACCAGAAGTGCGCAAGCTCCACAAAAAGGGGCATGACCCCCAGCATATGCTATGTGAGTCAGTGAGTGTGACCACTGGTGAGCTCACGAAGCATCTCAGCACCCTCCACTGTAAAAAGGAATAAGGGGATGCAGAGGGATCTAGGGCTCGATACTCAGTACACTCGTCCTTCCTGAACACATCCAGGAATAGCCTGGGGGTCACTAGCACCCCAGAGGCGGCCCTGAAACAAACCCAAATAAGCTTTCAGACAGCACAGAGTTCTTAAAACCAAAACCAAAAAGACAATCCAACTACAACATGGTGAAAGGGAGAAAGGGCCAGAGAGATAGGGTACATGGTTTGTGTAAGCAGACCTGTGTTTCATCCCCAGCACCCAATATGGTCCCCTGGGTCTCCCAGTAGTGATCCTTGGGCAAGAGCCAGAACCAAGTCCTGAGCACAGCTGGGTATGGCCAAAACCTCCCCCCACCACAACCATCCCCTCCAATAAATCACAGCAATCCTTTGCTTGCTTTGCATGACAGAGGTCTGGGTTTGATCCCTGTACCCACACCAGAAGTAGGCTCTTCAGCATTAAGCAATGCTGAATATGCTCCTAAAACAAAACAAAAAATTATCCAACAAGGATTTGGACAGACGCTACTCGAATGTAGATCTACAGTTGGCTAACAGGCACGCACGCACACACACACACACACACACACACACAAAGATGCTCAACATCATTAATCACTATGAAAATGTAAATTAAAATGTTTGGGTGACTATAACTGAAAAGACAATGATCACTTTCATCAAACACAAATGTCGTACATCTGAAACATATCTGCTATGTTATGTACCTTAAAAAAATACGACTGTGACTGCACCTTAAGGAGGGTTGAGAAACTAAAACTCTCATAGTGCTGCTGGAACTGAAAAATGGCGTGGGACTTGAAAAAAATTCAGTACTTCAAAACAGTATTAACCAAATAAACCTGCAATTCCATTTTTATGTATGTACAAAAGAAATAAACATACACATTCATTAAAAAACCTGTACATAATAGTTCACAGCAGCAGTATCCATAAGAGCCAAAGAGCAGAAACTCAAACTGTTCCTCAACAAAACAAGCACTGAAAGAAATAATACTTGGGTTTCCCAAATGCAACCACGCACCCACAGGCAAACCAGTAACTAAACATTAAGGCACTTTAAGGATAGACTGGGTGAGCACGTCATTGTTCTAGTTAACATGCACACCTGCAACTAAAATCTAAACTGCACAATCTCCTGGACAGGGGGTAGGACATGGTAAGGCTGTGCGTGTCCTTAAGAATCCAAGAGACGCTCTAATGGCAAAATACCATCAAGAATTCAAGTCTCACAATGAAAAAAAAAAAAAACGGACAGCTAAATTCTGGCTACGAACATGTCAAGTATGGGGCCACAGAGAGGGTTCAAAATTCGGGGATTGGACGGCGGGGCACATGCTTTGCATGCAGGACACCTGGAACCAAAGCCCCCCCGCACTGCATAGTCCCCCACCCAGCACAGCCAACAGCAGTCCCCACCTCCAGGCGTGGAAGAACCCCTGGGCACCGCGTGGGCTGCGGCTCCCTAACCAAACCTAATCAAGCGCGTGGGTGTCGCCGAAAACTTTTCAGTGGAAATAATGCAACGCATTTAAGCAACAAGCAACCAGAGAGGAAACAATACAAGGGGAAGAAGAGAGGCAAGAGCCAAGCTTTTTCCAATCTGTTTTTTTTTTGCGTGTGCTCCAGAAATCATCAGAGGCATCGGGACGGAGCACAGCGCGGTGGAGTGACTTGCCTTGCGGGAGGGAGGCCCTGGGGTTCGAGCCCCAGCGCAAAAAAAAAAAAAAAAAAAAAAAGGGGAGAAAAGAAGATAAAGAAACCATCAGAGAAAATTCACAAACGTTTCCAGTCTAATCGTATTGGAGGACCAGGAGTGAGAGATGATCAGAGTTATAGACAAAAGTGATTCACCGCAGGACACCCCACAGGGCGGCTTGCAGGCGCCCACGGTGGAACTGCACTTGGTGCTCCCGAGTCGGACTTTCCCGTGGGGGTCGTGGGGTCGGGGGGGAAACACTGACCGCGGACGTTCCCAAAACAGGACCCCCCCCCCAGTGGAGGGAAAGGCTCCGAGCGCCCTGAAAACCCCGGGCTCCGCCCCCCACGCCTGCCCCCCGCCCTCCGGGGCGCCCGGGCGGAAAAGTTTGGAGGCGCGGCCGGTCCCCGGGCCTGGCCGCCCCGCCGCCTTCCCGCCGCCTCCCTTCTCCCGCGACCTTCACCTCCGTCGGCCTCGGGCTCGCCCCCGCCCCGGCCCCTGGCCCCGGCCCCGCCCCCCACCCCAAGTCGGGGCCCAAGGAGCGCGCGCGACACCGCGACCCCGCAGTGGAGGCCCCCCCGCCGCACTCACAAGAGGAAGCTCATGGTCTACACTCGCAGGGGCGGGGCCGCTAACGCCCCCCCCCGCCGTCAGGGTCCCGCGAGTGGGCGCGGGAAGCAGCAGCAGCAGCAGCAGCGGCGGCGGCGGCGGAGACACTCGGGTCGCTTCGGCGCTCGGAGCTGCCACACCGGAGTCGCCGCGCCCGCCCGACCCGCCTCTCCCCCACCTCGCCGGCCCGAAATGAGGAACCAGCCAAATCTCGCGAGCGGAGGCCGGGCGCGGCTCCGCCCCCTTCCCGGGCTGGTAAGCCCCGCCCACCTGACAGCTCAGCCAATGAGCAGTCTCTAAGAAGAGACTTCCTTCTCCCGGAGGGCGGGGTCGGAGCCCCGGGCTCCGCGGTCCTCCCTCCCCCAAATCGGCCCCGCCCTGGGTCCGGTTGGCGGCTCAGGGTCTTTTCTGCCCCTGCCTCTTTGCAGGGGAGCGCATCTCTAGGAGCATGGCAACTTTTTGAACGTTTTCGTCTGACTCTGAAATTGAGATACCATTCATGGAGAATAGAGATTCACTTTTTTTTTTCCCCTTTACTTTTTTATTGAACCCTTTCAAAGCAGTTCATGATTGGATTTCAGTCATACAGTGTTTCAACACCCATGCCTTCTCTAGTGCACATTTCCCAGCACCAGTGTCCCCAAGTTCTCTCCCAACACTCCCCACCCCCTGCCTGCCTCTATGGCAGGCGCTTTTCACTTTCAAAGAACAGCTCCCTGGACTGTGGATGTGGCCCAGGGGTAGAGCACTTGCCTTGCAGCTGAGATCCTGGGCTTGTTTTTTCACACTGAAAAATAAGCATTAAAAACATTATATAATAATAATTATATATATATAAATATATGGGTAGATCTATATACGGCCTAGGTTCGATCCCCACACCACTTGGTGCCATGAGCACTGTCTAGGGTTACCATGGTACAGAGGCCAGAATACCACTGCAACCCACCTTCACTCGCCCAGCACTTGATCACTTGACTTCCCGTTAATCGTCGATTTGCTCGAGCGGGCGACAGTAACGTCTCCATTTGTCCCTGTCACGTGCTTGTGTAGCCCAATGGTTTCTGTTTGCTACGCGGTCTTTTGCCATCCTGTGGAATCCAGTCGGCAACAGCTCTAGTCCAGCGGTCGTCTTTAAATCTCATTACATGACCAGCCCATCTGATTTTTGACACCTTGGCAAATGAGACAGCGTCCCTGATTCTTGATCGTCGTCGGAGGTCGGAACTCCGGATTCTTTCTCTCATTTGAGTGAACCGTGATATTCCAAGCATAGCTCTTTCAATTCCTCTTTGGGAGACCCGAATAGCGTTCTCATCCTGTTTGCGTAGGACCCAGGTCGCTGAGGCATATGTTAATATGCCCAGCACAAACTTTAAAAAAAGAAGAAAATATAATATATCCCCAGTGCTTTTTCCTTATAGTTTCAGAGTCGTGCAAACATCGTCATTACCTAATTCTTAGAACATTGTCATCACCAAAGAAACCCAATAGCGGTCACTCCCACTTCCTTTTTTCCAACAGTTGGCAACAACTGTCTAGCTTCTTTTATTATGGGATTTGCATAACCATTATATAAATGGACTCACAAAGTGTATAATCTTGTCTTTATTTTCTTTTTTGTGTTGGGGGCTGGGCCGAGGGTTTTGCGTTCACATTCAGTCACTGGACCATACGGTAACTATATGCTTACATTTTTGAGAATCTTCCAACAGACTGTTTTCCAACCAGCAGAACTATTTTACATTTCCACTAGCAAATGGCTGCAACTTCGGATATTGCCACAGCTTCTGTAGCATTCTCTATTGTCTATCATTTTGATTATAATCATGCTAGTGGATGTGAAGTGGTACATTGTAAAATCTTAGCACACCGAAGGTTGTGTGTTCGTGGGCTCACTGGATGGCACTGTCTCACTGCCGCGTTTGGTGCTCTTGAGCTGCTGTGTGTGGCCTGGATCAGGATGGCTGTTGGCCAAGGGCAGATAGAAGAAGAAACGAGGGCCAGGCTGGTCAACATCAGTAGTAGTTTATTCCAGTCCTCTTCACTCCTATCTCTTCTCTGACTCCTTCTTTCCTGGGCCCCAATCTGGAACCTTTCTCCTTCTGGCTCTGACTCTGGATCTCTGGAGCCCGAGCTCTCTCACTTCTGACTCCACTCTCCCAGCTTAGTTTATATAGCTTAGTTTATATAGCAATCACGTAAGGCGGTGACACAAAGGTGGGTTGAATATTGACAAATCAACAACGAGAGGTAAGACCTCTCATTCAGGAGATTAACTCAAGGATAAAATCTCATCTAAAGAGATTACTCCAGATTACTAGGAGATCCGCTCAAGGGTGGGATCCTAACAAGGGTGTGTTCTTTCCTCAGCTAGTAATCTACTTAAATAGTTGTAGTAAATCTACTTCTAATATTTCTAGCAATGTTATTCTGTGTGAGCACCGTAACAGATATAAACATCTCATTCTACATTCCGCAGTCCTCAGGCCAGGTTAGTCTTCCTAGCCCCAGCAGGGTCCTAGTCTCCTTGTTACTTTTGGATCATGACAGCATTTGTCCATGATCATGCCCTCAAGTTATAGTTGAGTATTGTGGAGCTTTGGCCTGGCCCATTTTGATGCCAGGGTAGCTCACCGCTTGCCCTGGGTCCATTCAGTTCTTTGTCGGGACCCTGCTTTTGGGGTGCTAGGAACTAAGGGCAACTGAATCAAAAAAGCAGATTCCCAGGAGTAAATATTATTTGGAGTCATTCAACTCCCAAGTTACAAAGCATAATATTAACTGTCTTCCTGTGTCCATATAGAAAGGACATTGCTTACAATACAAGTTCAGTGTCCTTAGATGGGTGTGACCCGATAAACCTAAGCTACCTAAGGAAGGATAAAACCGTGTTATCCTATAGTACATCTTTGAGATTTTTTATTTCCCCATTGGTTGGTATTGAGAGCTTTTCATATATATGTATAGTTATACATATATATATATATATTTTTGATTTTTCGGTCACACCCTGCAATGCACTGGGATTACTCCTGGTTCATTCACTCAGGAATTATTTCTGGGTGCTCAGGGGACCATATGGAATGCTGGGAATCGAACCCAGGTGTGCCGTGTGCAAGGCAAATACCCTACCCGCTGTGCTATAGCTCCAGCACAGGTTTTCCTATATTTTTGACTCTTTAAACTTCCTTTAAGTTACCTTGGGCCTTTAAAGGACCATATACCTCAGAGAGGAGTTCTGGACTAGTAATAATCTTCATTTGTTCTCTCTCTAGGATACCAACAACCATTAGGTCCGCCACACACATCTGTCCAGATTCTGCAACCCATCCCCGTCCAAGAGAAATTTGTCTCACTGTGCTTAACAGTGTCTTTATTTCTAAATCCACTGGGAATCTTTCAGCCCTTATTTTATTTGCCACTTAGTTCGATTTGGCACATCTTCTCACACACCTTGTTGATCACAAATGACTTTATTTTTTGAGACTTTTTTTGTACTCCCTTATAGAAGATGGAAGTAGGGAACACTTAATAGCCACATGATCTTGAGTATTTTCACAACCTTCACCTCATTTTTCTCACATGTAAAATAGTGGCAAACTTCTAGGAGTGTGACAGTTCAGTGAGTGAATATATCAAATGCACAAATAGTTATCTGCTTAACATTTGCTTTTTAAAAAGAAAGAAAATTTGTCATGTCTTAATAGATTACCAGCTTCCTGAAAGCAAACCCCTGACTTATTTATTTATTTATTTAGGTTTTTGGGACACAACAAGTGCTACTTAGGGGTTACTCCTGGCTCTGCACTCAGGAATCATTCCTGGAAATGCTAGGGGGACCCTACAAACACTGTGGATTGAATTCGGGTCAGTCGCGTGCAAGGCAAGCATCCTACTTGCTGTACTACCACTCCAGTCCCCTTACTTATTTATCTGTATGCCTTGATTTAGGGGAGATATTCAGCAAATGTTTGTTTAATAAATTTCTTTTCACGATATTTTTCTTCAACCTGAAATATCAATGAGGATATGAAAGGCAAGGTATTTATTAGGAAAACTTTATTTATTTTTTGAGGAAAACATTTGGAGAGCAGAGGTGCTTCTCCAAAGGGCTGGAAGATTTAATGCAAGGGCCAGAGGTACTGCCAGGGATTACCCAGGCTACCTTGGTGGTGCATGGTGACATATCCAGGATCAGACCTGGTGGTAATGCTCAGGAGACCACAGGGAGGGTGCTGAGGTTGAAAGGGGGATGAAGCATGTCAGATACTCCTAAATCTCTGTACCTTTTCTCCACCTTATATCAGGGAAACATGGCAGTTAGACTTGGGGGGGGGGGGAAGCTTTTGGGATTAGGAAACCCTGCCGGGGAGTGTGTGTATGTATGTGTGTGAGGAGTGGTCTTGGGGAGGATGTCTCCAGGCAGTGCTTGGAGCCTGTGACCTCTTGCAGTGATTCTCAGTCAACTCGGCCAGCAGTTCAATGCAAAGGCCCAAGGATGTGGTGCTACTCAGGTGCTGCAGTTCTGGAGCTTACCTGGCCATCCTGGCAGTGCTCAGGGGACCAAAATTGGTACTAGGAACCAAATATCAGTTGACCTTATGCAAGGCATGCATCCTAACTCTGTGCTACACAGAGCTTAGCACTGGAGCACAACTCAGCATCCAGGCCCAGTGATGACGTCCTGGTCTTAGAGAGGCACCAGTTGCATTGTCATGTGGTACCCTAGCATGGGCAAAGCATGCACCTCAGTGTTAAGAGCTATCACTGAGGCTGGAGCAATAGTACAGCAGGTAGGGTGTGTGCCTTGCACGCGGTCCTACCTGGGTCTGATTCCTAGCATCCATATGGTCACCCGAGCACCACCTGGAGTAGTTCCTGCGTGCAGAGCCAGGAGTAACCCCTGAACATGGCCGGGTGTGACCCAAAATAATAATAATAAAAAAAGAACTATCCCTCTCACTTTCTTAGGCCACTTTTTCAACAGAATATCAGTACAGTGTCATGAGAGAACCAGATAAGACCTGAGAGAGGTAAAAAGAGAATGAGACAGAGATAGAGCTGAAATGAAGGGGTAATGGTGAGGGTGGGGGGTGGGAGGAGAGAGATAAGATAGAGCATACTAATTATTGCATAGTGATTTATTCTTCTCCAGACATAGTCTAT